CGGGCCGGGGGGCGCGGGGGTGCCTTGCCAGCCCCTGGCCCGGGGGGCCGTGGTGGCGGGGCACCGAGTCGTGCTGCCCGCTGGCACAGGAGGAAGCGGCTCCGTCCCACGGCCCATGCCCTCCCAAGGGACACCCGCAGCGACGTCCTGGGGACCCTCTCTCCCCTCCCTGGGGAGCTCCACCGGGCTGGGGCCGGGCCCTGCCGAGGGCAGGTGAGCTGCAGAGGCAGAAATGTTTATTGAATAAAATCACAGGAGGGATGCCACTCACCGGCCCCAACCCCGGCAGCAGGTGAGGACAGCCGGGGCCGGCGTGGCCTTTGGGGGGCAGCGAGATGCTCGGGGTGCCGGCAGGATGTGGGGATCAGCACCCAGAGGTATCGGAGATGGAGATGCCCACCCTGGCATGGCACCCCCAGACAGACCCCCGAGAGGGTTTGGCGGTGGCACCAAGCTGGGGAAAGCAGTGACAGGCAGAGCCGTGTCCCCGCGGTGCCACGGTGGTGGCACACTGGGAGCTCGGGGGTGCACCTGAGATTGGGGGAGGGCTGAGAAATTAAAGCTTTTTCCGTGGAAAGGGGGGTTTGTCGCACCCCAGGCGCAGCCCGCGGGCAGTAGTGCTGCAGGGTGGGCGTGCGGGCATGGCGTGGGATGTGGGGCCGGCCGAGGGGATGCCCTCCCCGAGGGCTTTGGGGACAGGGGGCTGCTCGGTGCTTTGGGGGCACCCTCTGTCCCCGAGGCTGAGGCAGCGTTGATGGAGCTGGGGGTTGCAGTGGATGATGGTCGTGGCTCCTCCTGGCCCTGAGGGTCCGGGGCTGGGGGGCAGCCCCCACCTGCGCAGCCCCCGGGGCCATTCCAGCTCAGACAGGCCCCGCCGGGGGACATTGCTGCTGCCTGGGGACCACGAGGAGGGTCCCCACATCCACCCCTGCCCAGGGCCGGGCAGCCCCTTCCCCACCTCCCCCAGCACGAAACCCTGCAGCAGCTCCATAGCCCGACCGGGCCGGCTCCCTCCTTCCTCCTCCTCTTCCTCTTGCTCCAGGCAGCCGGCACCTGGAGTGGAGGGGGATGTGCTGGGCGGGGGGGGGGTGGGCGCCAGCACTGGGGCGCCAGTG